GCTGTGGCCATACAGCCACCAAATGGTAATAAATCTTTATCACCAACCTGTGCCAAGTTCAAGCATTTATCTGCATGTGACATACCAATCACTTGATCTACCCAATCCTCTGCAAAAATATCCTATTACAGTGTAAAAGAATCCAGGACGGAAATGACCATGTTCCAGTAAGTTTTAGGAGAAATTTGTTTCACACAAGTGTTTTATTTTTCTTACAGATAAGTTGACTTTCTGTGATGGAACTTACTCAGGGGAGGAGTCTAAAGAACATGCAATCACCCAATAGCACATGTATGTGTCACAGGATAAATATGAACTACATTACACAACTGACAATTTTCAATAAGATTATTTTTTTATTATTTCTATATTCTTAAATTTCTCTCTTAAAAATACAGACTCAGAGTCAGATTTTCAAAGCAGAGCACAATGGGTGTATCCAGAAAAATCCATGTGTCTAAGCTAAAGGTTACATACATTTGCAAGTGCCTACCCATTTATATATACAACTAGATGATTTGAAAAAGCAAATACAGGTTTTGACGGTGCTACACCCAGATTTCAAAATCTGGCCCTTAATATACCAGTTAATCTAGTGTGAGAGAGAGAAAAGAACAATGATTAACTTTATTAACAGAGCAGCACTGATTTTATGAGTTTTTAAAAATATTTCCAATTTTCCTGCATCTATCTGCACCTTTGAAACATATCTTGATTACATTATATTTCCAAAGGAGAAAGTCAGTATATTGCTACAGATATTAAAACCATACACCAAATAAAGATGACCTGGTTCATAAGCTCAAGGGAGCCCCAAGCACAGAAATCAACTCTCTCGCTATGGACCAGTGGAAGATGAGTCAGTGGTGAAAATGATGCACTCCAATGGGAGTGTGACAACTGAAACACTTATACAGCATCTCCTCTGATTAATCAATACTGCTGTATTTGGCATCAGTGAAGTAAGAAGATAAAAATGTAAAGTGGAGGAATTCTAAGTAGAAATCTAGAATTTTGAAGCAGTGGTATCAATGAATACTTGTATTTAAATGACACCGGAGAATTACAGGTATAATAAAAGTTGCAGAATAAAAACATGAGTAAGGATATACTGTAGGGCCTGATTCTGCTACTCCTGTGAGTCATGGTTACCCAAAAGAGGAGCCCAGTTGACACACAACTTGGTTTGGGTGTGGTCACAAATATACACCAGAAGCATTCAATGCAACTATTCTAATCTCTGTTAAAATGCTGTGGACACTGTGAAATACAAATTTTACATACAACTAATAAACTGGCTGTATTTTTCTTTTTGTAATTTTTTTTTTTATAAATACTGTAATACCAACATGGGCAAACTGTAAACTAGAAAGGATGATGTTCCCATTCCTGTTTTGAAGATGAGAATATTACAGATTAGTTATTTAAACTATGTTTTTACATTACATTCTGCTTTTATTACATCTTAAGTGAAAGTCATCAAAATGTCATTAAGGCCTTTGTGCTTGGTACTGTTTGAATGTAAACATTTCAGCAAGCTGGTTCTGAGCCATGCAATACTGATTTTTACAGTTATAAACATCCAATAAATGAAAATCTGAGTGTTATGATTAGACTTTAAAAAAAGATTAACCCGTTTATTTTCTCTCTCTTGTCTTTTAGACCATCTTTAGCATTAACTACTAACACAGTGCTACTCCTAGAAGCACTGAAGCAGTAGCATCATTGTAAACTAACCCCAAGGAATGTCCTGCCAAATTCTACCATCAATCCAGTGCTGAAAAGCAGCTCAATGGTGCTGTAAAGCTCCACCTTACAAATTCCATTTCTTTGGGCATTGATTCTAGTTGCAATTATTACCTGCCTAATCTATTGAGAAACTTTCTGCCATTGCAGTTAATTCTTATTTGAAGCTCTGAGATTAGGAAAACTAAATAATAGTTCTGTGTGTTCAAACAAAACACTAACACCCTGTTCTATTCTGTAACTGAAAGCTACATGAGAAAAACATGCATCAGATCTTAGTAACATGAAAAGATCTGCATGCACTATTTTGGTTTTAAAACCAATATTCTAAAGACAATAAACAGAAATTCTCAAATTGTTTGGGGAATTAATTTTGTTCTATCCAAGTAGCATCTGGGCCATTGTCAGGACTGCTGAGAGGAGGTGAAAGGGGGACAATTGTCACAGGGTCCCAAGCTTGCCCACCCAACATGTTTAACGTCTGTGTAAATAAAGTGAAATGGCAGGGCATGGAGCCCCAGCAACCCTGATGTACGAGGCCCCAAATTTCTCTCAACGGGCTGTGGTTTAGCCATTAAGCCAGGCTATTATGTTTTTCTTACACTTCTTATACAAGAGAGATTTTTTTTAAAAAGAGTAATGACTTTCTTCAGAAACTCCTATTTTAAGCTATTACATGAAGAGAAAGAGGAATAGCCTCAAACCCACTTTCGGCTTAAAAATGTGTAATTACTGATTAGGTTTCACTTTCTTTAACAATGTCAACTACCAGGTACAACACTTGATTTGTCTCATTTTCCCCCCTCATAGTAGTAATCTAGGTAGCCAATTTAGTACAAAAATTAACAACTCATTGAAGAAAAGTACTATGAAGCATTATTCTGTATTTGAAATATGCTATAAACGGAAAATGATTTTGCCTCTGCTAATCTGGGATCATTATCACATTAGCCTAGCATGCATACTCCAAATGATAAATCAAACCAGTAATTTTAATATAAGAAACATTTTACTATTCATCTCCTAAAACCCACTCTGCATTCAATAACCTCTTAATCACAGTAGTTTCTTTTGAAAGAGACTCTATAATACATGAAGGTGCAAGTACCATTAAGTATCACACAAGGAGAACATTTCTGGTAGTAACAAAAATCTGATACTATTTGAATTCAAGGTACTTGCCTCAAACTGAAACTGGGAATTTCCCTGAGCTAAGTCACAGTTTGTTTGACTGCATGTACTTTAAGAGTTAGTGATAATGAAGTGGCAGACAAACACTATCAGAGAAAGCACTTCTGACTTTTTACTATCCCTATAGAATAAATACATTCAGAATCTATCCATTATATATTCAGATAGGGAAATGGAATGCTAGCCTTTCATTCTCAATCTACATAGAGTCTCATCATCAGATAGCACAAATGAAATGCTAATGTAAAAAGATGAATGCCAATTTCCTTCACTTTGCTCCAAGTTTCAGTGGCTCTCTACAATAAAAGATAGCTGTTTGTGGAGACTGGCTTGTTCCATACCATTAACTCAGAACAAAACATATTTTTAGTGGGACAGCAGTGTTTACTTGTAAGAACTGATGAATTGTATGCCACCATTTATCACTTGCAGACAAAGACATTCAGGCTCAATTTTGGACATAAATCAAGGTACATGCTCCTAAATAAAAAAGGATTGCTTAAGTCCCTAAAACTGCATAGATTGAGGTCAGATTGGCCATAGCAACCACGAATGGTACTTAGGCCTCCAGTAGGACTTAGCAACCAATAAATGAGCTTAGATCTCTTTTCATCTCCACTGGTGTGAAAGCCAAAATTAAAAAGATTAGATCACCCTGCACCCATCACAATAGGCTTCACAATGAAAAAGTCATTTCTAGCCTTTGAATCACATCAAATAAATAACATTCATCCCTTCTATAATGAACAACTTTCAAAGTAAATTGAATCTCCATAGTGCTGCTTTCCCTTGCTGCACCATATTTACATAACAATATATCACAGGAAGCTCAGAATCGGTCTTGTAAATGGGAGACTCTGAATAAAATGAATCTTTAGCACTGATTCCTGTATATTCAGCTTCAAAATGCCTTCCATTTTCCCTTCATTTAAACAATGTACTGTAGATTATAATCCATATAAGCAATGCTTTAAAGCTTGCAATATGAAAGTTTATTTCAATATGGGAATTGTACGGTAAATAGATTCCCCCCTCCTCCCCATTTGAGGATTAGTTCCAAATTCTACTTTTAAGTGCTGAAATACTATCTGGTTAATATTTGATTGAAAACAGTGGTACATTATTCCAGTTTATCACAACTGCCTCTCATGCTGTAGTTACTTCACTTTATTCTTTAAGTTATTCTATCCGTTCTTTTAAATCTGCTACACAGTGTAGTATTTTAATTTTCTATTTCAACATGAAACATTGTTTTTTGTTCTTGTTCCAGTCTTTGGAACATTAGTTATTTGTAAACATTTAACAAGTGTACAATATCATTGATCGCAACTGTAATAATCTAAACCATTTTAATTAAAAACATTCTATCAGATGTTCTCGTCTTGTCATTACAGGAAAAGCATTTTTCTTATACTCAACTTGTCCTTATTAAAATGGACCACTATCCCCTTTTCATTGTAGAGTGTATAAACTACTGTTTAATGGAAAGTGTTCCAAAAGCAATATATTAAAGTCAGAAGGTTATACCTACATTAAAAATATGCTGGAATAATTTCAGCCTTCTGCAGCAGCAGCTCACATAGATAATACTATTTGAACTCAGCAGGCAACCTCATTAATTTTTAAAACTCTCTGACCCCAGTACAGTTAACAGTGTAAAAATAATTACAAATTAGGGTTGAAGGAGCACTGTTTTAATATTGCATGGGTACTGCCAGCAACACACCATTTTATTGCATCCATGTATTTATTATGGCTAAATATAATTTTACCTTACCTGAAATGAAGCTTCATGGTGAATTTTAAAAAGGTGAACATTAGAAGAAACCTTCATTCAACACCAACTGTAATAGCTACTATGCCAGTGAAGAAACCTTGCCTATTTTCTCCAATCATTCTAGTAACACAAAGCACTGCAATTACTGGTTTATAGGCTAGTAACAGCCTGGATACAGCAGTAAAGTAAAATATTTTAATAACAAGGCACATTTTAAACCTAACAACTTCTAACTCCTCTAGAAGGATATAAAATACTTGAGTGATGTATAAATAGTCTCTCTTACCTAAAACTTGTCAGAAGAAGAGATCCTTCTCATTGTCGTCACCTCCCGTGCCCCCTCTTGCCACCATGGAAATTGCTTCTGCTATGTTTATTGCTCTGTGCCTCAGTTACAGCTGTGACACTAATCTGCCTGCACAGACCAGCAAACGTACGTGTGTGTGTGTCAGAGAGAGAGAGAGAGAGAGAGAGAGAGAAGATAGCCTACTGTCTTCTAGGCTGAGAACCTAAACCTCAGGCCAAGTCAAGGCTGAATGACAATGATCAAAGCACTGTCCTTCATCAAGAGAGAAGACAGGATTTCCCCCCCGCCCCCAATGAAAAGTGGGACTGTCATTAGGGATTCTCACTAAGAAACCTCTAACAGAGACAGACCTTTTCCAGATTGCTAGTGCCTGCCCAGCAGTCCGTGCAGAATACAGGTAGCTATTGTTCCTGAGACAGATATGTAGCCAGCCACTCAGACTCTGACAGATCTCAACAAACCAGTGAGCCTGCCTTCACTTTAACTCTTTATTTACTAGTGCTTTACTTTTGCTGAAATACAAAGATGTCCTTATATCCCCACGGGGAAAAATGAATTGTAAATAACTACATTTTGGTTAAGAAATGATCTTGGTGTCTTATACATAGAAATGTTCCCATTTAAACTTAAAAAATACTACCTTCAGTTCAGGCTCTCTTGTTCTGAAATCTGATTGAGCCCAATGTTAGACATGGTATAGCAATATTAGACTCCAGTAGTAATAAAGAATTCAAATTATACCAGGTCAATAACTGATGCCCTGTGCTTTATGGAATGTTCATAATTTAAGGCTAAATGAAATAGTTCTGGATAATCACCGCCATGTTTTACAGATATTATGCAAATATTCTAGTTTTTAATAAAAGTGAATTGTCTAGTGATAATGTGACATAGTGCTACATGTGTTATCTTTAACGTACAGAAGATTTTCCATTGGAAGTCAGCTCCCGGTTTTAATCTGGGGTGACTGTAGAAATCCCAAAAGGAAACAATGTTAGAAAGGGTTATCTAGGTAGTCAACAATTTCACTTTAGGGTAGAGGGATAACCATCCTAGTCCCCTTCCAGTTCTGTCACCTAGGTTTTCATACACAAGTTTTAGCAAATCAAGCTTCATACAAAATAAGTTAAGAGTTTAATTGTAAAGACAAAAATCAAGAAAACTCACAAGCTCATAAATTAAGGATAATATTCTAGCTTTTATGCACCCACTTAGGCCTACAGTAGACAATACAATAATCTGTGAACAACTATTGATTCTACATACCAGGCACCCAATGAGTGCGGTCGGGTCAGTATTTTAGCCTTTAAACTCAATTTCTTTTTTCCTCTGTTTAAGCCAGTCTCGACTTTATTTTAAACATTGTATATGTGCAAAAGCAAGTGAGTAAATACTTTGGGGAATGGGAGGGAGTTGTTTGTTTTGTTTTAAAAAAGGCAAAGTTAAAGGATATAAAGGGTGGGGAGCAGAAAAGAAAATCTTTCAGACCAAGATAAAATATGAAATATAAGATGAATAATTTTTACCACTGATCATAAAAATGCAAATGAGAGATATCACTTGAAAAACATGGATTTTTAACAGGAAAGAATATTGGTTCTTACTGTCTGTGGCACAAGTACAGTTTTTTCTCGTGTGTGCTCCATAAAAGTACACTGCACAAGCTTTATGAAATTTCTTTGAAAAACAGTCAGTGGTCATTTTTTAAAGGTGAAAAGTAATATTTTCTACTTGAGTGAGGATTTTATTGTGCTTCCCCATTAATGATAAGGGTCAAGTGGCCTTTTAAGATTACCCCTGTCCAGCAAGAAGGGAGGAGTGACTTTTTAATAGGAAATCAATGTCATTCATTGGAACACACCCTGCTGGGCAGAAAATCCTCTGCAGTGCAGGATGCATTTTACATGGCCAGGACTGTGGATTCTCATGCTCTGCTGAAGGTTTACTCCTGAACGTCTCATTTTAGTTTTTCAGAATATCAGTATATAAAGAAAATGTTGAAAGAACTTATCTATGTCACCAACTGAAGTATTTGCAGTGGTACGTAAAGAATGTTTTACTACATACATGTGTTAAAAGTGAATATTGTCCCCATGTTAAAAGGGCATTTTATTACCAATTTCAGAGAGTTTTAAGATGATTCCCCTTTCTATCTTATGCAAGTTTATAACAAACAAGAATTTGCTATTAAAAGGAAGAGGTGAAAAATGCTGGGGAAAGATAAAGGGTTTGCATCCTCATCTGGCGTAAATCTGTGTAGCTCCATTGACTTCAGCAGAGCTACACTGATTTACATCCCTGCAATTCCAAAGAACAGCTTGACTGTATGTACCATAATGTGCCAATTTCTTTTCTACGCAGCGTGAGTGCTACTTCTGGGAAAAGCAAAATGAAGACCACTAACTTTGTATTGTAAAAAGAGCACTCTAAACTCCAGCTGTTGATCATATGACAAATGTCTGAGTGTGGTCACATTCGATGTCAACACTTGATTAGACCCTACCCAAGCACATTAGCCTTGAATATTTCATTTTGAACCAAGTCTACAATACTTCTCCCAATACTTGGGTACTCAACAGAACAAGTCTTGCAGAATTATTAGAGTATGTTTTAAACAATTGCATCTTAGCTTATATAGATATACATGTCAAAAACATCATAACTGAAAGGATAAAGGAGGAATGTGAAAAGAAAAATTTTCACTATTGAGATATCACTGTGCTGGGTGCATTATAGGAAGATAAACTAGACAGATTAGTCTACATTTCCTGCAAATGCATAATGGCCTTCCCATTATCCTTAATGATATTATAGGAAGAACTCTCTTCACCATGTCCATTAAGGAGAGAATATTCTTTATGGTATGAGTAAAAGGGGAGAGAAGTTTCTTATGGAAGTTTTACTACACTTCCTTAAAGCCACCTTAGATATAAAGGAAGGCTCTTCATTCCAGCCAAGTCAATCACAAGCACCCAATAATATGCACTTTACTATAGATAAATAAACTCCACCTTTTCTATGTGACTTTTCACTGATACCCAAGAGTTTGTGTTTTATAGCAGTTTCCAATGAGAATCTTTTTTTGTAAAAGCACAAAATATGAGAAATTATGTTTAAAGTGTTGTATTTTTCTAAGGAGGGCATTTTCAATAATATACATAGGGAATTAGGTGCACAACTCCCATTAAAGAACCAGGAGCTATACACCTATAATTCGCTAGACACAATGTCAATTATTTACCCTCAAATATCCACATGACTTGATCTGAAAAAATTGATTATATTTCCCCAAAGAAGACTGTAAAGAAAACAGAACTCCTACTGTATATTACATAATAATCCAGTGTCTGAGAATTTTACCTGAGGACACATTGCTACAGTATTCTCTTTCAGCTAACTCAGAGTGTTATACATTCAGACAAAAAGCCACATACCAATATCAGGTATCCATTTCCCCTCAGGGATTCAATGTTTTAATGGTTTTGTAGTAAACAGCCATGTACTAAGAAATTATTCATATCAAATATAACAGAATAAAAAATTATATCAACTATCTGTAAATGTTATATACGCAGAAATACATATAACATCTCAGGGCATATAACGTTAATTAACCTTTTGTCTCAGTTTGTACAGAAATTATGCGTAAAAATTTAACTTTACCAGGGACATAAACACTTACGAACTTAACATTTGCTAGTAGATTGCTTTGCAAAATGAATGGAAAGTATTCCCAAATGATATAATTTACATTGAACATAATGACTTTGATTTCTTAATACAAAGCAGAACTCTTACTTTTCACTTGTTTATTTTCCTTTTAAAGTTACTTGTTGCAAAACACACACATATGTTTAAAATATTGGTCTTTATTATTGCAGCAAATGTTTAAAATATAAATGCCAACTACAAAAATAAAACATGTAAATATTAGAGTGGAGCCAGTGCCTATTTTGCTTAGCATTTGGGCAATTACAATGAGTAGTTTAGAAAAACTGATGAATAAAAATATGCTCAATTATATTTGTAAATTACGCTATAACAACAGGTATTCAAAAAAAGTATAATTAAACTCTCCAAAGAGACACTTCTGATATTAAAAAAAAGTTATTAACATAGTACAGGGCTGAAGATCATATAACATCTTTCGTCTGAACTGTTTTCATAGAAACATAATTAGGGTACTGAATTATCAACTAGACTTTTTGTAAAAGCAAATGTCAAAGATTAGAACTCATCAAGACTATTACAAAACTTCTACATAACAATGTAGCACACTAGTTTGTATTTCATCAGTTTGTATTCCTATATCAACAAATTATACATTTGATACATGATCTGTTGGTAAAAATTCTTTTTAGCTAGCCAGTTTTTAGGACTTGTGTCAGTGTACCCCATCTTCAAAAAAACCAAAGCTTTTCTTTGCAAGGTTTAGGATTCTTTAATTGCAGAAAATATATTTTATATCTTGTTCTCAGTAAAAAAGCTTAATTTAAACACCTCGTTCAGCATTGTGCCTAGAACTCATATACAGCAAAGTGTTACCACAAATAAATTGCTACAAGGAGGCTGTATTTGCAGCTTTGTTGGGTAAATGAAACAGTTTCTTTTCTGTGCACTTGTATGTCAATTCTAGTCTTATTCATTTCAATAGTTAGTCAATAAATAAATACATAACCCTAAACATCATAAGAAAAAAATAAAAATTTCAAAAAAATAATTCAAATGTGATAAACATCAAAGGACAATATATCACTTTCCCCTTAAATATTGGATATAGCATGTTTAAGCAGTGTACTACACATTATAATTTGATGATTCATTTATTACTGTCATTGACTTACAGCCAATTTTGACCTACCACAGTAAGTGCTGTTCTATGGGAGTTGCTCATCTTGAAAGGCCATGTGTACAGTAGCTTGATGAAGGGGGGAAAAAACAAAACAGTCAGAGCTTCTCTTGTAGCTGCATTGTGCCATATGCAGTTCCCTTCCTCTGAATCTTTTGATAAAAGGCAGAATGCAACATGATTAATTAATGTAGCAAAGGCATTACAATTCAGAGCTAAAAATATTATTGAACTTCTCCCTAGCTAGCGCTGTTTAAGTAAGTCTTTTAAAAAGCAATTTAATTTCATTCTACCAAGTCAAATTTTCTCCACAGATAATTAGTTTTCATTATATGCATAAAAAGCTACAAAGAAGCCAATTTTTAGGATTTATTTTTATTACAGAAAGATTTACCAGCTTTTGCAAGAAATTTTATTGTCAGT